CCTTTTCATGACCCTGAATCAAGTTGTTTGATGCCATCAGCTGCTCTGGTTGGCAAGAAAAATGCAAATTACTGAAAAAATAGCTTGCGTTTTGCAAATTTTAGCATTATTTGGCTTATATCTTGTTGTTGATGGAGCTAAATAGGTTGTGCTGATGGTGGCAGGGTCATCTAGGCCCAGGGTTTCAATTCCAGCCATTTCTTCCCAAAAGGGAAATTTCCCACAGTCATGTGACCAGCCAATTTCGCATTTCTGGCACCCCTAGTGTCTGTCTAGACATAGCAGAAGAGGACTTGAGCAAATTTTTGCAAAGTCCAACTTGTTACATGTGACTTTGATGTTGATGGCATCAGCAAACTTGATGGCTTTATTGCTCTTCATCAATGCCAAGTCTAGGCCTGGCAATCATGTATTTATTAATTGTTTCCTTTTGAGGCCATAATATCAAAGTTTCACAGGCTGACCCTGAAGGAAAAGGCAAATAAAAAGTCACATGACCTGCCATCAGTCTTGGCATCAGTCACATTTCACATGCTGGGCACTCAGTAACCCCTCCATGATAATAGGAGAGCCTTCCCAAAATGGAAGGTAGGATATTGCCCTCCCAGACATAGACTTAGAGTTAGGAAACTACCAAGGATTCTAAAAAATTCTAGCTTACATGGCTGGACGAGGTGGGTAGGAGAGGACGGGGGAGCGAACGAGGGGCGAGGGCAGGGGTGAAAGGTGCCCCCACTGCCGCCACTGCCGCTGCCCCATTGTCATGGTGCCTCCCCTCATCATTGTTGTTGTGCCCCTGTCATCGCTGTCCTGTGCCCGCTGTCACCTTCTGTTGGTCCTGCCACCCCTGTTCGTACCCGCTGTTGTTCGCTGTCGTCCTCGTTCGCCGCCATCCTCGTTCATTGCTGTCCTTGTTCGTCATTGGTTTTCCTCGCAGTCACTGCAGGCTTCCCTCTTTGTGTTGGCAAGAGGAGGTAAGGAGGTTGAGGGGAAGGAGGGTGGAAGAGGTGAGAGGGGCGCGATAGGCGAGCCGAGCGGGGGTTTCATGCCTCTGCCCACATCCCTATTGAAGGGGAGGGGCACAAAAGGCAAAGAAAACAAACATCGACTTTAAAGTCGATGTTCATTGACCTAGTGTTAGTTTAAACATCAATTAGAGTACATATTTATGAAGAAAATACATTACTTACCTTGTCTTGATGCTTTGAGGTGTCATTGGCAGTGGTGCATGATGAGGGCAGTCGCCAGGTGGTGGTTGAAGATGTGGATCAACAACGTTTGTTGTCATTGATGGTTTATCCAGCGAATGCTGTGAGCAATTTGATTGGCTGAGGCTAGCAGTCCAGGCAGCCCGTGTTCCGCTCATCGACCTCGGAAGAGCCAATACACTTGAGATACAAGGAAACCCTTTTGATTAATGATCGGTAATTAATTACACTACTTTGTTCTATGTATTTAGGAAGGCCCAAATATTATCTGAGGCAGTGAACAAGCTAAAAGCTCGAGTTATCGTTTCCACATGGTGATTTACATCTTTTTGATGTTCCAACCTCTCGAATACCACACATTCGACAAGGTGACACATCATAATAACTGTGCATTTGAGATCCTTGGGTAAGTCTGTACATCATATAAAAAATTTAGCCTGAATTTGCCATGTAAGTCCTACAATGCAAGGCGGTGTCTGATATTTGACACATCCATGAGTTGGTTTGGCTATGGAATCCACCCCCTCATTTGCAGTTTCTTAGTTTGCATCCAGAAATTGCTAAGTTGGCCAGGGGAGCTCCATTACCCAATACTATTATAACTTGCCAGTCTGTACATTATTTTTACATATTTATTTCATTTCTTCTGCCTCTTGAAATCTACATACAGAGGAGAGGCTCCCCTAATTGGCCTGAACTTGAGATGAATTGACTCATAAAATATTTAAATCTTGTTTTATTTTGTTAAAATTACATATATAGATGAACTTATATACTAATAACAATTTCTGAAAGTTTGAATAGAGATATGCCACGTTCTGCGTCCATCGGAGACGTTCTGTTGGTCGCCAACGGAACTGAAACAGGATCAGGCCAAAAATCCCAGCCAATGGGATTGGCAGCTGGATCCTGCCGAACCGTGATCAACGATGCTCAACATCGTTGATCTTGGTCTTTCTCCACCACTTCCCTCACCCCCTCACTGCGAAGCAGCCCTGAAACACAAGACAAGGTAAGTATGATTCTTTTTTATGCATCTATGTCCCTACTAATCTACCTCTGCATTCACAGAACAACGTTCACATCAATGACGACGCACCAAAACTGCCCCTCCCCTCATGACAGGGATGTGGGCTTGGGCACTTCCATGGCCACCACTGTCTGCTTGGCCACCACTGCCTGCTTGCCCGCCACCACCCTCTTGCCCAACATTGCATGCTCGCCTGCCATTGCCCTTTGACCAGTCGGAGGATAGCAACGGCGGGCACAGGATGAGGACAATGGCAGGGGCACGATGAGGACAATGGCAATGAGGATGGGGGCATGACAGCGAGGACGATGGCAGGGCACCCTTCATGCCTGCCTTTGCCCCTCGTTCACTCACCCCGTCCTCGCCCTCGTCCTCACCCTCACTCTCTACCCCACCTTCTTGCCCCCCTCGCCTGCCGTCTCACCCTCTTCCCTTGCCTTCTTTCCCTTTCCCTTGCCCTTGCCCTTGCCATCTGCCTTGCCCCCATCCTCTGCCTTGCTTGCCCTTGCCCTCTCCCCTCCATCCGCCCCTCACTTGCCTCTCGTCGGCCCTCTGCCTCACCCTCGCTGTCTGCCTAGCCCCCGTCCTCTCGCCGTCTGCCCCTCCGTCTCGCCTTCATCATCGCCCTCTCACCCTCTTGCCCCTCACCCTTTCGCCCTTTTGCCCACCTCACCTTTGCTTTTGCTGTTGCCCTTTTGCCCATTTGCCATCGCCGTTGCCTCTCACCCTCTCGCCTTCAACATCACCCCCTGACCTCCGCCATCGCCCTCTGCCTCGCGAACAAACCCAACAAGTGGTGGAGGGCTGAACAGGCAGGCAGAGGGGGCAGAGGTGACCCAACAATGGGCAGAGGAGGGGGAAGAGGGGCGAACACCCCCTAACAAGCAGTGGAGGGTCGAATGACCCCCAATGACAAGCAGAGGGGGGCAGAGGATGCCCCAATGGGCAGAGGAGGCAGGAAGAGGGGCAAATGGCCCCCAACAAACCACAGAGGGCCGAGCGACCCCCAACGAGCAGAGGAGGGCCAAATGGCCCCCAACAACAAGAGGAGGAGGAGTGGAGCCAATGGGCATCAGGGAGGGGGGAAGAGGGGAGAATGGCCCCAAACGAGTAGCAGAGGGCTGAACGACTCCCAACAAGTAATGGAGGGGCGAACAGCCCCCAACAGAGGGCAGCCCACCAAGCAGAGATGATGCATCACAGTGCATCGTTTCTGCTCATTATCTCTTTATTTCATAGTGGGTGGCTCTACCAGGCACCTGCTACCATGTATACATATCTTTAATTATAATATGATTTTTTTGTAATTTTTTCATGTGCTATGAGACACCCCTGAACATCATGACAGACGCTGGCAAGAGCAGTACAAGGGATGAGTCATTGTAATTACAACATTATCTAAAAATAGTACCAATTGACCAAGGCCTGAAAAAAAGCTGCATCATCCAAACCACCCCCTCCCAATCCAGCTATCCCACACCCCCAACAGCAGGAGAAATGGTGCAGAATGGTGAAGAAATATCTCTCCTCATTGTTGGCGCCTTTTCCCCATCGAAAACAGGGGCAGGAGCACCCCAAGCAACGAGGAACAGTGTCCAAGCACTGTTTCCTGTGTTGTTTGCATGTATTGACATGCTCTGCCCACAGCCGTGAGCCCCAGCACACCCGGCAAGGCCCTCTCCATAGGTGGACTGTAAAACCACAGTCCTGACATATAAGCATACCTTGTAAAAATACAGTATCTGATATATTCTCGTGGCTTATAGAAGTGATGTTCGGGGGGCTAGTGTCAAATAGAAATTTGTATTAGAGTACATATACATAACTAAAACACATTACTTACCTTCTCCCCTGGCCCTGGGGCGTCATTTGAGGCATTGGACAGCAAGGGGAGAGCCAGGTGGCAGTTGAGGATGGGCATCAACAACTCTCATCGTCGTTGATGGCTTATCTGGTGAATGCCGTCTGCCAGCTGATTGGCTGGAAACTATGGCCTGTTTCTCTGCAATTCCACTCATCCTCGATGGAATCGCTATTGCACCTCAAAGTGCCTGAAATTCCTGCATTTCAGTGTTGGTATTGGATAAATGAATAAAATTATACATGCTCGTCTATCTCTGAGGGTAAAATTTGTAAAGACAAGCATAAAAGAAAGGGTGTTTGCGGTATGCCCACCAATCCCCACACCAACACCACATATTTTGCACTAGGACTACGGACAAAAGGGTAAATGGTCCCCAGAAGTGTATGTAAAAGAATCACCTCATTTGTTATCCACATTATGAATTTTAATTCTTCTGTCCTTGTAAATGGATGGAGTACAGAGTGAAACCCATAGTGATTTACTATACACTGCTAGAAATTCTTTGAGAACCACAAATCATACCTTGGAGAGCATGAAACCCTTTATTTATGTATAAAATACGTATAGAATACTAGTAACGTTCAATTTGAGGTGTCGGCCAGCCAGAATGGATGCGAAATGACAAGTTAGGTGTCGAGGAAATGGTCATCTTGTGGTGATCTCAGTACACCAGCTGACGGACCGACTCATCCAGCCAATTGGATGAGACGTGGTGTTTGCTGGATAACGATCAGCGATGATGAACTGTCATTGATCATCGTCCTTCACCACCAGTCCCTCAGCCCCGAAACCGACAAACAAGTAAGTTGATGTTTCTTTTGTGTGTACATCTTTTAGCTAACCTACTTCTCCCCTCACAGGAGCCTGCCCGTGCTGATCATGACGTGATGAAACCGCCATGTGCCCCTCTCCTCATGACAGGGATGGCTGGCGCCAATCCACGTCCACCACCACCTTACACCTGCCCATCCACCTTGCTCTCGTCTGTGTACTCTCATGCACATCCCCTCCCCCTCATCTCTCCCTTTTGCCCACACCTACTCGGTTACTCACCACACCACCACTGCTGAACCCTCCGTCCATTCAGCTCTCACCCAGCACCCTCCGTCCATTCAGCTCTCACCCAGCACCCTCCCCCTACCAGGACTGTGAGCTGCTCTCCACAAACTTCCGATGCACGGTGTTTCATAGATGGCGGCAAGGGCAAGTGGATGGCGATGGCGAGCGCACAAGAGGGTGGCTTCAACATGGTGCAAGATGAGAGACAGGGTGAGATGGCAGCTACATGGGAACAGCAAGGATGAAACCACCACGATGTCAGCAAGATGAGCAAGACAGCACCTGCCATGGCCAGCATGAGTCACCCCAACCATCCGGTCTGCTCACCCTGCCACGGCGTCGACACGACGCCAATGTGAGGATGACTGCAATGACAATGAGAACGTGAGGGTTTCGCCCTCACCCTCGCCTCACCTAACCCTGTCACACCTCACCCGCCCCGTCTCGCTCGCCCTCTCCAGCCCATGGCCATTTCGGGTTCTCCTGGACCGGCAAGGGCAGGCGAAGCCTGCGGATGTAGAACACGAGCACAACCAGCATTGAGAACAGCGGCGACAATACAAGCACGATGACTCCAGCATAGGCAAGATGGTGCATATTTGAACACGGCGACAGAATGAGCATGATGGTGCTGACACAGGCATGATGGCGACACAAGCACGACGAGCAACAGCACGAACGGGGCGCAACGCCAGCAGGGGGGACAAGAACAAGGCAGTCCGATGTCAGTGGCATGGGGAAGACAGGGGTGGCATTCATGCAAGAGGTATGAGTCACCAATGGCCGTTGAGAAGCATGGGCAGGGGGTACCCATAGTTGCCCTTCCCTTCTTCTCTCAGTCGCCAGCCCCATCCACACAAGTCCATGAGCATCCCCCTCCATCCCACTACCCAGCACCTTGCACAGTCTCTTGGTCCCTCACCCGCCTCACAGCCTCACCACCCTTTCCATCCCTCCGCCTCTTGACCAGCACTCTTCCACACCAATTGACACCTTGCTCAGACCCCAACCCGGCTCTTGCACGACACCAGGCATCAACAAAACGGGCACCAGAAATGAAGACCAGCCGCGAATGCGAATGTCAGCGCCAGCATTTGCATGGGTGAGCCAGCCAGTGAGCCAACAAAGCAGCAACCATTGCAGATGACAGCTACAGCACCACCAATGAGCAACGAAGATTGATGGAGAACAGATGGTAGCAGTGCCGCAATGGCAGCTTGCTCGACAACAGCAGAGGATGGTATGTGCACAGGGTGTGTCGCTGAGCAGAAATGATGTGCTGTGAACACGCTGTTTCTGCTCATTTTCACTCTGTCTTACAACAGGTAGCAAGTATAGCCAGCCCACCTCCTGTATCTTATTTCAATTTAATATGATTTTATCAAATTTTTTTGTGTGTGTTCTCCAGATGCCCAAGCTCGCCGGTCATCATGACGGACAACAGCAAGCAGTACCCCACCGCAATGTATGTGGGTTGTGCCACAATTGAGAGGGATCATGGAGGAGCAGAAGGGAAGGGGCAAGCCCTGATGATGATGCGTCTAAAAATAGAATGTCATCCAAAGACCTGCTTGCCCATCCACCCCATCCTGCTCTCCATGAGGCGCGCAAACACCTGAAATGGGTAAGAATACATCCTGACATTATAATCCCAAAAGATGGGCCCGCCCACTGTCCCAAATGGCGAGCTAGAGGCCAGTTACACTGCTGGGCATCTCAGAGAGGCATTCTCCTGCTTTGTACCCAATATGGAATCTTTCCACCCTTCACCCTTCGACTCTCGCCCTCCACCCCTTGCCCACATCCTTTGCCTTTGATCTACAACAACACAGGGAACAAAACAACGAGAATGGCTGCGGATGGCTCAGGTCACACTTCTATCAGCCAGATACATGTATCAAACACTGGGTTTAACCAGTGTGAACTCATAGATCAGGACTGGGATTAAGCAGTCAGGGTCTCCAAGGCTGCTGGGGTGAGTTTGCTGGAGATGCTGGGCTATAGAGATTTGTTTTGGGGCGGGAGGGGGTAAATAAATGACCAAACAACCCTCCCAGGGGTGGGGCAGGGGTAGGGTAGGCCTGTGGGGGTGGGAGGGGTGGGAAAGGGGTGGGAAATCCGTCTGAAACAGGCAGGGGTGGTAGGGGATGCATGATAGGGGCTAGTGGGATGGCAGGGTGGGTTCTGGGTGCGGTGGGGGCCTAAAAATGGGTTGGGCAGGGCTAGATATGCATGCTAATAATTGTCATGGCCCCCACGGGGTG